TAAAACTCAAAACGTAACGATTATTTTCCGATCAAAAAATAAAACGTAAAACGTACCATTATTTTCCGAGCAAAAAAATACAACTTAAAACGTAACTATTATTTTCCGAGCAAAAAGTAAAGCTCAAAACATAGCGATTATTTTCTGAGTAAAAAAGAAAACTCAAAAAATAATAATTAAACTTGATTTTTATAAGTAAAAATTAAAAAAAAAAAATCAGTGCCGCTGAAGGTATTCCGAGTAGTAAGAAATATATTGGTCTACTCCTTATGCGTGCAGCATTTCTCTTTCAGTGTGATTTTTTGAGTAGAAAATTTAAAAAGTAATCGTTATTTGCGGTCCCTGGAAACAATAGACTTTGCACAAACTGCTTCTCACGCTCTCAGATGCAAAAAGACTGTGAAAGTAAATTCAATTGTGTATACTACCAAAGGAGGCATCATTCGATGGTCCATGTTAATAATTTTACCCCCCAAAATGGCTCTTAACTATCAAAGAGCCACAAGGCTAGTTGCAACAGCTAGACCCAAAAACCCCGAAAATCTCGAAATAGAAACCGAGAAACCAGGCTGTTCAAAAACAGCAAATATGCAAGCGCTTCATTCAGGAAATGAAAGCATAATTTTACTGCCAACTGCGATTTTCTCGATTGAACATCGAGGAGAATTATTTTAGCTTAGATATCTAACTGATGAAGGCTCACAAAGATCGTTTATCTCATCAAAAGTACAAAACCGGTTAAAACCCCCAAGCACAAACTCAAACTTTGAAATTTCGGGAATGGGTGGAAGAGTAATACAAAACTCGAATAAAATCTGTTTATCAACCCTGATTTCCTCCAATGCGGATGTAAGAATAGAGGCACACGCCATTGTTCTGCCGCAACTAACAAATATGCTTCCAAGCTATGAAATAAATGGCAAAGATCGCTAAAAATTTGCCCACCTCAAATTAGCGGATCCCAATTGCCACACCCCCGCGCAAGTTGATATCCTATTAGGCAGCGATCTAATCCCCCAAATAATGCTATAGAAGGAATTGGAAAAATCTCAAATACCCTATTAGCCAAAAATATCATCTTCGGTTGGATTCTAAGCGGCCAAGTAAAAGAAAAAGTGCCGGTATTTACAACTCAAGTTGAAGACATTTTAAACGAATACCTCAATTCTCAATTAAAAAGATGTTGGGAGTTAGAAGAACTCCCCCCATACAAGTCACTACCCTAGCAGATAAAGCTTGCGAAGATTATTACAAAGCCACAACAACGCGAGCACAAACGGGTCGATATGTCATTTAAGCCCTAATTCCCGCACACACTCGCCCTAGGTCGCTCCCGAACCTCTGCACTTCAGCAGTTTTTAAGTATGGAAAAAACCTACTTAAAAAATACGAGCTTAAATCAGCATACGATGGTGTCCTGGAAGAATATCTCGACTTAGATCATATGGAAAAAGTAAATCCATATGAGAACATAACCGAAAGTAAATACACCTCGTTTTACTTACCCCACCACGGCTGTAAAACCAGACAAAAAAACAACCAAGGTAAGAGTTGTATTCAATGCTTCGAAATGTACAAGCTAAGCCAATTCCTTAAATGACATTTTGTACACAGGACCCACATGAACCCGATTTAATGCTACTGATTTTAAAGTGGCGTATGTTCTAATACGTATTTAACAGAGACGCCGTAAAAATGTATCAACAAATGCTCGTACATAAAGACGATCAAGACTTTCAGCGTATTATATGTATTTCGAAATTCACCTAATAGTCTAATATGTGACTGTAAACTCAAAACGGTGACATTTGGCGTAAATTGCGCCCCCTTTCTTGCCATTCGAACACTTTGCGAATTGGCAAATGATATAAAAGGAAAATTACCCCTTGAAACCCCGGTGTTAAAAACAAACATATGTGGACGATATCCTGTCTGGAAGCTACAGCTTACCCCTAGCGTACGAAGCACTATCAAGAGTGATACAAGCCCTCAACTCAGAAGGATTCCCCTAAAAAAGATAACCGCCAATCACCCCGAAATCGTAAAAGATATAAATAAAGAGAATTTATTACATTCAAACTTTCTAATATTCGAAAAGGAAAGTATCACAAAAACCCTGGGCATACAATGGAATGCGATCTCAGATAAATTCTCACATACTCTTGAATCAATATCTGCTCACTCCGCAATAGCTAAAAGACAAATCCTGTCGGTTGTACCGAAACTTTTTGACCCCGTAGGATGGCTTTCGCTAATTATGATACAAGCGAAAATCATGATACAAGAATTATGGCTAGACGGAACCGAATGGGACGAGCAAGTAAAACCACTTCGCTTGGTAAAATTGTCCCAATTTGCTAACAACTTGCATGCTATTTCCGAGATACAAATCCCTCGATGGATGAATTACTCCCCTGAATACCAAGTAGAACTGCACGGCTTCTGCGACGCCTCTGAAAAGGCAACTATATATTTAGGTGCGCACCCAAACTAACAGCACAATTTCAAGCCATTTATTAGTAGCAAAGGCCAAGGTGGCACCATTCAAAACACTAAGTCTACCACGACTTGAACTCTGTGGCGCGCTACTACTCGCAAAATTAGCCTCAACTGTGCAAACGCATTTAAACATGACCAATCAAAAATTATATCTATGGTCAGACTCAGAGATCGTCTTAGCTTGGTTAGAAAAACCCAGCCACTCATGGAAAACATACGTTTACAATCTCACAGCCCAAATACTGGATTTAGTTGGGCCAGCAACTCGACGACATGTAGCCAGTGCTGATAACTCCGCCGATCGTGACACAAGTGCAAACCCCTGCACTTCGCCACCACCTCACTCTAGTGGAACGGGCCCGACTGGCTAATAGAATTGCAACAATTATGGTCACAATCCCCCATACGCAACATAATTGCCCCAGAAAGTCGAAAAGTTTAAACCTTTCATACAATTTTGGATGACACTGACATCCTAGAACGATTTTCCTCGTTTCCCCGAGCCCTAAGGGTAGTCGCCTATATATACATGTTAACGCACCAAGACCTACAAAAAGCAAAGGTTTCTCTTGTTGCAAACACTCAAACGCGCTATTTCAGCTGCGAAATATTAATGCTAAGAGAATCAAAACCAATTGATAAAAAGAGTACTTAAGTACTCTTAGTACTCTTAGTACTTAATCCATTTTTAGACACGAAAGGTCTGCTTCGTGCTAATACATGGCTAGCGAATTCCAGCCTATAATAATACCAGAGAAATCCCCCTTTGCAACACTTTACCTCAGATTTCTCCACTTATTAATGCTACAAGCCAAACATCGCCTCATGAAAAAAATGGTCGGTCAAGAATTTTAATTCCACGACTAAAGCCACGGATCAAAAAAATGCATATTTATGTGTAAAGTCTGCACTATACATAAGCAGAAGATGCGCTTGCAGATCATGGCGACTCTTCCACCTGAACGCTGCAATTGCGCTCTGCCCTTCACTATCACTGGTGTTGACTCTGCTGGGCCTTTTCAGATAAAGGTGTCCATTTTAAGGACTTCCACCTTTGCGAAGGCAGTACACCTCGAGCTATGTTCTGATCTGACAACTGTGGCTTTTCTCGCGGCATTTGCTCGCCTTTGTCGAAGCCAAAAGAGCCACTGAAAAACAATTTATTAAATTTATAGGGGAAGTCTGGCCTGAAATCGTTAAAAAATACGCACCCCAAGGCATCGATTAACAATTTATCCCACCAAGTGCCTCACATATGGGTGGGCTACGGGAATCAGCTGTAAAAAGTTTCAAAACACTTTTTAAAAAAGTCGCTGGCACACAAATTTAACTTTGAAGAATTTAGTACATTAATAACCCGAATGGAAGCCGTTCTTGACTCACGTCCCCTCTCTGCGCTTTCGCAAGATCCCCCCGATTTCACTGCCCTCACCAGTTGCAGTTTCTTTGAGGAGCTCCACTTCTGGCAATACCGGATCCAGACAAGCAATCCTTATTTCTAATGAATCGATGGGAACGAGTGAAAATTCTCCATCATGAATTCAGTCGCAGATGGAAGGAAGATTATTTAAAAGACCTCCATAATAGATATAGATGGAAGAACACTCAAGAATAGCCTAAAATCGGAGAATGTGTTCTGATTCACGATGAACCGCGTGGCGGCTCGCAAGAATCAAAAATTACACCGTGGCTCCGATGGTCACATACGAGTCGTAGATTTGCGCACACAAAACGGTACACTAACCCGACCGCTCGTAAAACTTTGCCTTCTACCGACCGAAAGCGCCAATAATCAATGAAAATCAATAATCGTAATTCCGTCACTCCCAAAATCGCAAATAAAGAGAAAACCACGCAACTCAATTAACGTACATGAAAATAGTTTTTAATAATGTACACCTGACTAACCCAACAATTGAGCGTTAGCATACACGCTTTCACCCCCATCAACACCTTTCCCCCTAGTTCCATTTTTTATACCAGAACTTAATGGGCTGCAAAACTGCATATTCAAGAAAATTCCAAAAAATCTGATTAAAAAGTTGAAGATTTGCATAAAAATTTATTTAATTTTCGCGAGTTTTGCCCAAAGTTTACTTTAATTTTATTAACTGGTTTTAAAATTTTAATCCTTGTTTGATTTGACAGCAGTGTAAGGGAGATAAGTACATGCGGCACGCAAGGCTTTTTTAGAGATTCCACTGAACATAACGCTGATTTACTGTGACATTTCAAAAACGGTATTTTTGTGTATATGATGTAAAATTATTCGTTATATCATGCTTTAAACTTTGTAAAAAATTGAGGCCAAGGTTTCGTGTAGTTTCTGCGTAAAAAGCGAATATGCACCTGCATTTTCTAGTGCCAGTTTAAAAATTTCAAGGCATCTCCTGATCAATCACGTTTTGCGGTTGTAACGGCCTTTTTGTAAATGAGCGATAAGTAGTTATAAAATTAACAGTTCAACATTAATAGCCTTTGTTTATATTTTCTTTTATCAGGTACTTGATGTTGTTATAAAAGTATTTCAAAATGGTGGCGACGAGAAATTAGATGTTCCTCGGCCGCCGAGCTGTTTACCACCCTTATCTTCCATACATGACGAAAGTCCTGCTTTAACAACTGCTGAACGCTCGAAGCGATTTAAAGACAGATTAGCGCATCGACGAAAACAAGGAGAGATGTACAGTTTATGGTGTGACACATTATACCGGCTTTCTTTGGCAAATTATGTATTTGAATGTGGTACATTTCTGTATATCATTATAATAACAGTTATTGTTTCACCATTTTCAGTATCGCAATCGTGTATTTTGGCTGCCTCATAACATGGACTTTCGTGGACGGGTTTATCCCATACCACCTCATCTTAATCATTTAGGATCTGACTTGGCACGGTCTATGCTTGTTTTTGATCATGCAAAACCGCTTGGACGGAATGGTTTTAACTGGCTTAAACTACATTGTATTAACTTAACTGGTTTAAAGAAACGGGATTCAGTGCGTGAAAGATTATTTTATGCCGAAGAAATAATGGATGAAATTCTTGATTCAGCTGATAATCCATTGAAAGGAAATATGTGGTGGGTAAAATCAGATGAACCATGGCAAACACTAGCTTGCTGTATGGAGATAGCTAAAGTTCAACGTTCAAATAGTCCTGAAGGTAAGATTATTTCATATATGGCCCTAAATCCGCACTGTTAAGCACTTTGTGTACATTTTGGCTCACTTTGTGTACAAATGCCGCTGAAACTCGCTATAATATAATTATCTGATAGTTTTTCTTTTTGGATGTGAAAATATGAATATGGGCAAATCCTGGTGTTGCGGACGTTACGTTCGGACGTTTCTTTTAACTTTTTTGCCGACAAAAAAAATAAAGTTCAAAATGGTTTGTGGTAAATATAAGGGAAGTTTTAAGGCAGTAATAAGTAGGTCAAAATAATGAAGTTTGCATTTTCATTTATGTCTGTGTATTTGCCTTCGTAATTTGCGTTCGGACGTTACTGAAAAAGGAAGCGATTTTGACATGACCATCGAAGTCAACCGATTTGCCCAAATTTTCATATATAGAGAGCACAATCTACAAATATACTTTGAAGAGAAAATAATGAAGTTTAGAAATTGTATTATGAAATTAAAGTAAAGGTTGGATTTACTTTAAAACAATTTTATACGTGCGTTCGGGACGTTACGTTGCGTATGTTACTCTTTTTTCCGTTGAAAAAATTTATTTTTTAAAGCGATATTGTGGCATTTTATTAAAAGATATAGTGCTTAAAAATAGAAGTATTCAGAGCTTTGTTTCAAGATGTAAGAGCGGAAAATCAGATTTCTCAAAATAGAAATATGAAATAAGAATATTTGGTCCTATGCCATTTTTGATACAAAAATGCGAGAAATTGAATTGCATACATTCTTTCAGATTTTGGTTGACTATTTCTTGGATTCCCCCATAATAATAATAATAGATTGGCGCTTACACATATGTTAGTGTTGGGCCGAGCTTCTCCTCCGATTTGTGGCGTGCGCCTTGATGTTGTCACACAGAGCGGAGGGACCTACAGTTTTAGAAGAAGCTGTTTTTCATGGCAGAAATATACTCGGAGGTTTGCCATTGCCTGCCGAGGGACGACCGCTGTTAAGAAAAAACCTTTTTCTATACTTTTTTCGATGTTGCTCTGCCCAGGGTTTGAACCCTGGCGTTGCGGAGTGGAAGCGCGCACTGCTTACCACTACACCACAGCGGCCGACGCCCATATGCTGCTATATTTAGTACTAGACCTGGCGAACTTCGTCCCGCTCAAAATTAATTTTTTTTTATTGAAATATTTTGGTCCATCATTTTCACCAACAATTCTGTGGTCATAAGCAATAACCGACTATTGGATTATAATGTTAACCTTATGGGGAAAGCAAAATATGTTCGTCTATAACTTTTTAAATAGCCTAGCTGGCGAGTATAGTAGTTGCAGAATATATATAACTGAATTCTTTCTTAAGTCGACTTAGGTGGTTATTGCTTATGACCACATAATTCACGTATACGATTTATCTGCTAATATTATGGTTTAGTGGTCTTCGGTAGGCATACTTCCAAGGCCGTCTTAAATGGTGGGGTGCAATAACACCATACGCAATAAGGCCATATCGCACACGATCTTCAAAGGTGACACAACTCAAAATTACACGTTGGTTGGAAAATGCGAAAAATTATTTCTTAGCACATGCCAATCATATGGGCAATAGAGACTTTGCCTTAGGCTTTTTCAACAAATTATAATAAAAATTTGCTCCAGCTTTTGCTGAAAGGTAAATAAAAGCTCTCTGTACATTTTTAGCGCATAAATTCAAAAATGCCAAATTTTGAGTTGTGTCACTTTTGAAGATCGCATGCGATATGATCTTATTTCCATTTTGTTTTGGTAATAAAACTATATGACGTTATTTCCAATCCAGAAGTGAAATAAAGGAAAGGAGTAATAAAGTCATAATTGAAATTACAACCGCTTCAACGAAAAATGCATGTCTGACCACTCACAAATTTTTTCTAATAATTGACAGTGGGCACTTTGCCACGATCGTAGTAAATTTGTTACGATTTTTTAAAAATTTTAAAATTTGCTACCCAACTACGCTTTATCCTATTTGTAAATCACTGTAACTTCAAAAATGTGGTAAACAGGCCATGGCTTCAAGATCTAAATGTATACAGAACAGTGGTGCACAGCGTTGGCAGAGCTACCAACACAAGCGCAATTTTTGTGTGTCTGTATGTGTGTACTCCGCAAAACAGCTCACGCATGTGATGCTTACAGCATGAAGTACAAACGCAAACTGACCGGCTGCTAGCGGCGCATAAGTTCGGTAGCTGCGCACACACGACTTGTATGTGAAAGCCGAGTAGCTCCCGGAGACTCCCGTGTGCATCACTGATACAGAAAGATTCAATGAGCGAGAGGGACACAGATAAAAAGCGGCTCAACAGAGGCAAAAGGTTCGTTTTCACGCAATATTCCGTTGAAATCATATTATCGATATTCTCAAATAAAGTAAATTTTCTATAACGATGAGTTAATGATCAGTTTCAAAATTATGTTTTTATTGTTGGTTTGTACTAGGCTATTTTGATCAATTTGGCTTATATGCAAGAAAACCACAAACCAACAATAAAAACATAATTTTGAAACTGATCATTAACTCATCGTTATATTATTCTAATCGGAAGGCCTGCCGAAGTATTCCCTTTATTTATATCAACAAAAAACACTCACAAACATGAAGGATTATTACAAGCACATGAAATACAAACACGGAGAGCATATTTGCTTATACTTAAAACACTACAGTAAACAAAAACAAAAACTGGCAAAACAGATAACACAACTAAAATTCTTATTGGAATGTAGACGGTATGAACTAACACCCAACTACTTGACAAACGCAACTAAAAACATAAACATAAATACCACATCTCAGAAAATAAAAGCAAAAGTAGAGAAAACAAAACGAATGTTTCTAAAGAAAATATTAAACCTAGAGATCACACAAACAAACATGAACATTAAAAACACCAAAAGCTACATTCTGCACGCAAAACAGCAACTACATCACAGTATAAACGAATTGGAACTGAATTCCTTTTTCTGCAAACAAAATAGCTTAAGCCAGAGAATAATAGAAGAGCGGGAGAAAATACATCCGTCTAAACTAGAAAAACTTAAGCACCAACAACTAAGAAAATTAGGAATTAATCAAAACAACGATTGGTTCGTAAACAAAACGAGTATTGAATTTCCAGAAGAGACCAAATGGCTATTATCCCTAGGAAGAAAATTTGCTATACCCACAACTAAAACTAGTCTCAAACCGGTCCAAATTATAGCAGAAATGGAAGAGATAATACAATCAATTGAAGATAATAGAACCAAAGAAGTAGCAAGATGTAAACTAAGTAACCGAATCATCCAATTCAAACGCAATATTAAACATAACGCATCCGAAAGATTTATTTTAGAAACTTTCAATAGAACTAAAACACTCTTAAAACGATATAAAGACGAAATAGTAGTTACTGATGCCGACAAGGGAAATAAAACTGTGATATTGTACAAAGCGGACTATACAGAGAAGATGATGAAACTACTTGACGACAAAAATACATATAAAACAATGAGAAATGACCCAACGACTACACTTCAGAGGAAAAACAATACCTTAGTTGACGACTTGTATAAAAAAAAGATTATTGCATTCAAAGAGAAACGACAATTGACATGCACCGCCGCGACTGCACCTAGACTTTATGGGTTGCCAAAGATCCATAAACCGGACTTGCCTTTACGGCCAATTTCTTCGTCAGTGAATGTCCCGTGTTACAGTTTGTCCAAGTATGTAGGTAATATTCTTCATAACCTTGTCATGGAAAAATACAACATAAAAAATGCATTCCAACTGAAAGAAAAACTAGAGAATATTCGGATAGAAGAGGAGGATTTATTGGTTTCCTTCGACGTGATATCCCTCTTCACCAACATTCCGACACATTTAGCTATTAAAATCATCCTCGATAACTGGGACGACATTAAACCAAACACGAAAATACCGAAAAATAAATTCCACAACATATTGAATTTCTGTCTGAAAGAGAATAATTACTTCACATACAACGGAAACTTCTATGCACAGACCTTTGGGATGCCGATGGGAAATCCCCTCTCGCCAACGATTGCAGACATAGTTATGGACAATTTATTGGACAATACCGTGATGGAGCTAAAGAAACACCTCAACATTGACATTAAATTTATGGTTAAATATGTGGACGACATTTTTGCTATTGTAAGAAGAAACGACGTGGATATAATTTTAAAAACACTCAACGAATACCATCCTAAGCTACAATTCACTATGGAATAAGAAACGAATTCCCGCATCCCATTCCTAGACGTCATGATTCATAAGAAAAACGACTCCATACTACTTGACTGGTATTCGAAACCCACATCCTCCGGTCGCATAATTAATTTCATGTCTTCGCAACCCTTAAAATATAAAGTGAACACCGCAAAAAACCTAATCCATAAAATACTAACAATAAGCCACGCACAATTTAGAGACACAAACATTAACAGAATAAACAGAATTCTCACTAACAACAACTATCCGCACCACCTAATACAAAGCTTACTCAAACAAAAAATGAGGGAAATGGACAACCAGCACAACAAAACAACCAAGTCGAAAACAACAAGTGAGACAAAGCGATATCACAGTGTCACATACGTACCTAAGTTCCACCAACAACTTGAAGGCGAAATAAACAGCAATCAGAACATTACATTAGCATACAAATCTAACAACACCTTGTCTTCAATATTTACAAATACAAAATCTCCAATAGACTCCCACCAACAAAGCAATGTGGTATACGAAATCACATGCAAAGGGAGCGAAAACGAAGGCTGCAATAAGGTGTACATTGGCACAACGAAACGACCACTGGGAGTTCGCCTAGCTGAACATGAAGCCGACATTAGGAAGAATAAAAACAGCACTGCTTTAGCCCAACATGTGCTAGCCAGTGGTCGTACAGCTGATCTGACTAACGCGAGAATAGTGGATAGGGAAAAAAGAGAAAAACCAAGATACACACTAGAGAGT